CTAATCCAAGCTTGATACTCTAAATTGATTGAGCCATTCGCACAAGGTGATAACCGTCGGCCGTGTAGCTCAGGGGTAAGGGTTTCAAGTCCCGACCCGACTGATCACGGTTCCAGTCCTGACAGGGACACAAAAAGTACGCACTGCTGACGAGTCCCAAACAGGACGAAACAGCTGTCCAGTGCTCTTTGTTCGTTATCACAAACATTTCCATCGCATTGAAATGCATACAAACAGTGGGGAATTAACGATCTCCCAACGAGTGAAACCCACACCGAGAACCATCAAGAGTGCCTGGTGCCTCTGAACAATCGAATGGGCTAATCCAAGCTTGATACTCTAAAACCATTTATCCATCTTTTTAATTTCCTCTGGGCTAGTTTTATGGTTGAATGCACTGAACTTAATCCATTTGAGCATCTCGGAACATCATTCTTCAAAGCTTTGATGCCCAAGATCGTCTTTGCATGCGTGCCTGATACGGGATTCAATAACCATGCCATATTATCCTTTGTGTACGCAATTAAAAGTTTGTTTCCGTTGTTGTTATTGTTGTTGTTTTGAACCCGAGAAATCAAATTGCCAATTTCTTTTATTTCTGTCCGTAACCGCATGTCCATGAACAAACGGTTCTGTGAAAACTTCTCTAGCTACTTCCAAACAGTGTTCACCATTCGATATGACAATAGTTAATTAAATTCCGCTAACACCAGCACTTTGCGAGTTATCAATATCCATTTTCTGATAGTACCCGCACTGGTACACGGTTTATTCCCACTCTGGCCGTAAAATGATGGTTGAAAGATCATGTCTACCTACAACCTTGTTTACACCGTTCAAGCTCTGCCACCAAGGTAAATGGGTCACTGCAGTTTGCTTCATTCGAACCCAAGGAGAATGCAATACTATAGGTTGGGAACGTGTTTGGGGTGGAGTTTGTGCTGATAGTGGTGAGACCGCAAACTGGTGGACCGCAAATGAATAGATTAGTTTGGCTGGAGACGTCACATTTTGCACGTGTCGGTATTTAATAGCCCGATGACCTGAAAGAAAAAGAATATCTGGAAGTCTGTACTGTTGACAGTTTGACCAACTGTATACGCTCCGATCTCACGCAGATGTGTCACGGCCAATTTTTCACTAATAATGGCCGGTCACTCAATCACTTTCTCTTGCTCGCTTTCTTCGTGAACTCCCACAATAGCTAACCTGACAGACGGTTAGATGCCATTCCCGTACTGGTTGATACAGGAAAAGCACGTGAACTTTTAATACTAGCGATAAATTTTGGCGCTGAAAGTTCATCTCTCGAAAAATGTCATCTTTTTCTCTCACAGTCCAGCTTTGTCTGTGTTTGTGCATTGAATATGTACTGACAAGTTTCTGTTCGTCGAAATGCGGAAGTTCAAACTGTTTGATGCCAGTAATAATCATAACAATCATGATCATTATGATGCCAATAATGAGGGTCATGAAGCAAGATGTGCGCAGTCTTACGGAATGTGTGGTTTAGCTGGCCTTGCTTTTGGGCGTATTCACACGAGCTGCACCCGACGTTCTGCCTTTTGGTTTACCGCAGACTAAACAGTCTTCGAATAAATGAAAAATCTGGTCTGTACCTTGCATTGAAGTAGTAAGACGATGTAAGTTGGTCCGTTAACTACTCACCCACGCTATAGAATTACCCAAACACATTACGAACGAGAAATACCAGTCCGTGAACATTCAAATCTGGTCAGTGTGTCGAATCGTCAAGACTATAGCGAAATGTGACAGCCGGTTGTAAACACAACCGTTCTAGGCATGTGAAAGCAAATGCATTAAGCAGTTCACGTGACTTTGGAATTATTTTTAATGTGCGTTGGTGGGTGTACGGATGAAGAGCTCTGAGAGAC